CACCAGACACATAGTAATTCACCCCAGGTTGAGATACATAATAGTATCCGTATTCAGCGTTTGGCACACCCTTCCGTTCCAAATAAAACACACCTACCACCTAGATCAGTGGAAACCACACAATTTGCAGTACAAATCCAATTCCAAATGTCAATAGATTGCATGTATCTCAAGGAACAATCACGTACACACGTACCAGGCAACGAGGAGTGTTCCAAAGGTTTGGTTGTCTCCTTAAGCAGTGGTTTGGATGGTGATTTGGGTGGGGATTGGGTTGGGGAAGTGGGGAGTGGATCTGATAATTATATAGAAGTGGAACGTAAAAATTAGGAATGTTCGAGATTAGGGACGTAAAACTACATATTATGCACATCGAATAAGTTGTATATGCAGAACGGCGGTGATGGTAGTTGAAACGCTTGGGATGGCAATGGTCAGCGGAATCTCAGAGAATTGGCTTAAACTATGTACATACTTGTCCGGCATAGTGTACCAAGTATGTACGGGTATAGAAGTTACTAACAAATATGCATAACAATAACTACGGTAACACAATGCACTACCAAAACGTCTCACAATCGCTACAGGTACACACGCTACTAATATATCTTCGGGTACATCACACTCGCCGATACTACCAACACCACAGAACGTCACACACCACAGCCCACTGTGTAACTCATGCCGTGCAACGCGTGCGCATTGGCGTACTCATATCTCGCTAAGCTGATTGGCTCATATTGCATAATTTTGGCGCGCAAATCGGACTGGACTGTTGGCTATTAGTACACTTGTAGGTGGGGGTGCTAGCATTAACCCATCTCATTTACTATTACACTTGCAGGTGGGAGTGTTAGCACTAACCCATCTCATTTACCATTACACTTGCAGGTGGGAGTGTTCGCATTAAGCCCATCTCATTTACTATTACACTGCAGGTGGGAGTGTTAGCCTTAACCCATCTCAGTTACTATTACACTTGCAGGTGGGAGTGTTAGCATTAACCCATCTCAGTTACTATTACACTTGCAGGTGGGGGTGTTAGCATTAACTCATCTCAGTTACTATTACACTTGCAGGTGGGAGTGTTAGCATTAACCCATCTCAGTTACTATTACACTTGCAGGTGGGAGTGTTAGTGTCAGTGGGTCGCTCATCACATTTCATCACACGGGGTTGTAGTCATCACATGTCATCACACACCACACAACAGATGAGCAAGGGTTTTATTAAAATCCTAAACTCTAAACCCACCCATCACACGCCACAACACTGGAGCAAAATCAACACCATCGTATGCAACATTCAACTGAACCCACATACCCATGACAGCCTTCTTCCCGGGTTCTGATTGGTTCTTTTTGGCGCGCAAATTCGCCTGGGCAGCGGAGGCCAATCCAGCCGCTATCGCAATCACTGGAATGGTTGGGGTTGAAGGTGTCTCCGGGAGGACTGGGGGTGTAGGTAACTGTGGCACAGACGGGACTGAGGGCACCTCCTCAAGAGGTTCTAGTAGTGTGAGATATGCGACAGTCGCAAATAGGATGAGACGGTTGTACAATAACGGTGATAAGAGACATAATTGAGCGCGTCTCTGAGAGGGCTGGCGTTGTAGGTAACTATGGCAGAGACCGTATTGCGGCTTCTAGAGATATTTGTAGGACATGACATATGCGACAGTCGCAGATAATGTGAGACGGTCGGAAATTACGATGGTAAAGATAGTTGAATAGTGGGTGTCTCTGGTAGGGCTCCGAAAGTAGTAATTTCTGGCAGAGACGGGCCTGAGGGCTCCAATGGTAGGGTATGCGGATATGAGACTGTTGCAAATAGTATGGAAATGCCGTAAACTCAAGATAGTAGAAATTGGAATTGTCAGTAAAATGAATAGGGCTGAGGTATTTCCGTCTATAAATAGACTGTACAGCCATTGGTTCTGGTGGGGGTGGTAATTGTGATTTGAGACTATTCTTGACTGTAAATAGAATACATACTCAAAGGCTCGGACGGAGGAGGTGCAGGTAACTCTGGCAGAGACGGGACTGAGGGCACCTCCTCTAGAGTTTCTGGTGGGATATGTGGTATGCGACAGTTGCAAATAATAAGAGACGGTCGTAAAATCAAAATGGTGGGAATTGTAATCGATAGTGTTGCGGGTAGGACTGGGGGCATGTGTACTCAAGAGGGCGTCTCGTCTACCGTCTCTGGTTTGGTATGCGATATGCGACAATTGTAAATAATATGAGACGGTCGTAAAACCACGATGGTACAAGCCGGGATTGATCGTGTTTCTATACAACTGGGAATACAGGTAACGCTCCCACAGAAGGGGCTGGGGACACCACATAAAGAATTCCGATCGGATGTGTGATATGCGACAGTTACTGATAATATGAAACGGCCGCAAAATCAAGATGGTATAAACCGCAACTGTGCGTGTGCCATCGTTGACGCGTAAAAATCTTACTATTTTATACATGCATTAGTTTAAAATCTGACTATTTTAAACATGCGTGGGCACTGTACGCCACTGTTGGCACGAACGTTTTATAATCATGCGAGAGTGACTGACGCTTAACCGCTGTACCCATAGTCTATAATTAGATTTCATACTATTGGTACTAGTGGTGGGGTGGTAAACACGGTCTTTAGTCTATAAATAGATTTCATACTCATTGGTGCCAGTGATGGAGTGATAAGTACAGTCTTCTCAGCCTATAAAAGGACTATATGTTCATTGGTTCTGGGGGTGGCGGTGGTAGGTATGGGCACTCCAGTCTGTCAATAGACTACATATCTATTGGTCATATAAGGGGGGGGTGGTATGTATGGCTACTCCAGTCTAAAAATAGTCTACACACCCATTGATTCTGGTAGAGGGGTGATATATAAGGCTAATCCAGTCTATAAATAGACTACACACTCATTGATTCTTATATATAGGGCTACTCCAGTCTATAAATAGACTACCTACCCATTGGTTCTGGTGGTGGGGGTGGTAGGTATGAGTCATCGTCATCCTCCTCGTCAGCTTCTGCAATCGACTCCGGCATTGACGGCAACACATCATCTGGCGTTTCTGATACCAAATACAAAAACAGACCATATATGGGTAAGCGCCAATAGCCGGGTATAGAGTATCTTAAATATGCCCATACGCCTACAGAGAAAACGTATATCTCCAGGTATCTTACGAAAGGAATAATCGAACCCCTACTTTGCCCGGTAGTCTACGACAGGTAACGTGCGTGAATCGGAAAAGCAATAACGTGCATGTCCTACTATTCCCTGTACTGACATTTCCTGTACTGACTCTGACGCATTATGAAATAAAAAGCGAAATACATATACTATCAAGCCATACGTTTTTAATTCTTAGGAGATCAGGCTCAAGGCCTTGAGAGACTAGACATAGCAAAGGTACAAAATTTCTTATAAATATACTGTCAAGCCATACGTTTTTAATTCTTACGAGATCAGGCTGAAGGCGTTCCGAGATTAGGAATAGCAAAGATGCAAATTTTCTGGCGATACAAATACATACAAAGGAAGTGTACACTGGTATACACTACATCCGTACGTTGTAATTAGGGCGTCCATAGCAATGGATTACAAATATATTATGAAAACCTGGAAATCCAGTCCAACTAAACAATAAACCCAAGCCCGTTAACTAATAAACCGAAATTTGGTGCATTGTGTATGCCATGTGCATTGAATAAACCAAATACAATACCAGGATACCAGCCAGAGAAATCAAACATTTTCTATTTTGGCATGTTGCGAATAGAACAAGGCACGCATAAACATCACCTCTCATTGAAAGACATCTGTGCAGGATGCACATCCTGATCCCAATAGGGATGGGCCTTAGCCCTCATAGGCACCAAGTCTACACAGAAACAAACAGAGATATACCTACCACCATGTACAAGAACCCGCCACACGTCTATTTTTAGATCCACACTTGTCTTTTTAGATCCACACCTGTCTATTTTTAGATCCACACCCGTCTATTTATAGATTCGTTTACCTACCTCCGTCGGTCATGGCATCCTCCATCATCTCGTTCGCAGACTGTGATAATAGACACCACCGCGAGAATATTAGACTCTAAAAATAAAAACTGCCTTGCGATTTTAGAAATACGCATGCGTACTTTGAAAATATCAAACCACTTTGATCTGAACACCTTCAAATAAATTTCGAACTATGAATTCAGGATCAAATGAATTTTAGACTTTGGATTTTGGATCCAATGGATTTGACTTTGGATTTTTCATGTGAATATTTGGCATAACAGCTTAGCAAGGCATCCAGGGATAGCATATTATCAAACTGATTTGGATTTGTACATGTACATCTTCAGCTTAATCCCACGTTTTCGACTTGAATACTTTCACACTGATACAGACTGAATTGGGTGTTCACTAATGAAGATAGACCCGGCACGTGGACACAAGTACCAGTCATCACACATCTGCATACAGAGGTGTGCATATTCTAACCCATCCATATATGTGACCATGCATACATAGATCAGAAGCGATCAGAAGTCATTTAAACCACGCAAACATACGAAAAGATGTATATACATATACCACCCATTCAATATACGAGACCATGCTTACATCGAACAGAAGGCATTTAAACCACACAATCAAACGAAAAGGTGATATTCATATACTACCCATTTAATATACGAGACCATGCATAAACCCTAAGCCCCAATTCAAAACAACATTCTCTCAACATAGTAAACCCTAAAACCCCAAACCCTAAAACATTTAATGCACGAAGGATGTATACACGGACAACACTTTCGTACAAGCAAACAATATACAAAAAATGGGCATGTACTTGTCCTATCCTGTAGTCTGGTGGCAATGAACATACCTCATCCTCAATGATATGCAAGTAAGCCGCGGGGACATAGCCCGAATGCACACTACCATCAAAGTCAGCGATGGCACACAGGTACCAGTCATCATTCCCCTCGGAATCATGCATGGCTTCAACCTGCACGCGATCATCGGCTGCGTACAAACCAGGCGTAGTGACCCGAATTGAGTGTAGGATTAGAATATAATAATAATAACAATAATATAATAACATAATAATATGATATATAATAATACAATAATATAACAATGTAACAATATAATAACATAATAATATATCTATGTATATG